ACGAAGATTCGTGTATACCGTGCATCCATCCGGTCAGTCCTCCTATATGGATTTGAATGCTGGGCTGTGCGCGCTGGAGATGACCGAATCTGGAGGTCTTTGACCACCGGTGCCTGAGAACGATCCTGCGAGTTAAGTATAATGACTTCATATCAAACGAGACAGTCCCATCCGCTGCGATCGTATCACGAGGATATCTCAGGCCATTCAAGAAAGGCGACTGAGGTGGTTTGGACAAGTTCTCCGTTGTCAGTTAAAGCACGGAGGAAATTTCAGTTAACTTTTCTGGATGAAGCTGATATTTTGGAATAATAAATAGAAACTTACGGAAAGCAAATAAAAGCGGGAATTAAACCTGACCAGTTTACTGCATAAAACTGGAAATACGTCGCCTGCTGATTTCCGGAAAATGAGTTCTATGACTCGGCTAGCAAGCACAAGAAGAGATGCATACTATAAGTGTTACCTTTAGAAAATGCATATAGGCATTCCGATGGCGGGGGTTAATTTGACCTTTTGGATTACAACAGACATGCTCACTAGACATAAGTGACAAGGCAATATTTAGTTGTCTTGTCGATTTGACAAGATTTTAGCTAAGTCACATTTTAAAACAGTATTTGAATCCTACGTCTAACATAAATTTAAAAAAGCATAAATAAATCCTGCAACGAGAGATGAAGAAATATTTATCACTGCGTAGACTAGAGAATGGAGCAACTTCTTTTACCCGGTTGAGAACAAAGCAGTGTAGTTGTACAAATAATTGATGAGTGTAACTCGGCGGTATTTTGTTAAGAAGTTTAAAATAACATGCTCATGGCTTTATATACTTATGCCCAACATGCATGCTAGCTTTGATCAGACAAGTTAGAATTCAACATATAGGCAGAACAAACCTGTAAGCCTCCACCAAGTTATACCCTATGCTCCCGATGAGGGTGGAAAAATCTTCGAGAAGTTCAGTGACTTCAGAACATTCGTCTTCGAGACCTGCCAAGCGAGGATCTGATGGATGAGGACGAGGTGCATTGGCAATGGCTCTTGCAATAACTGGAACAGACATCATAGGTTCTAAAGATTCCGACCAAATTCCAATGATTAGGGAAAGTTTGTCGGGAAATGGGGCCATTCCCTTACACACGAGGCCTTTGAGGAGTTGACAAACGCTGGTCAGTAGGCTCGGTGTAGGGCAGCAAACAAGCGTCCTCAGGATTGAAAAGCATTCGATATTCACAATTAGGCTAACATCGATCCACGAGGCGTATAATCCAAGGATCTTCAGAGAACTTGAAATTAGTTCGCTGTCGGCGTGCTCATTAGCACCGAGGTTTTGCTATAAAAATAAAACGAAAATGTAAGTTACATGGTCTACGAAACTAAAAACACCGTTAGTTGATTTTCCTTACCATAAACTGTGTAATTGTGTGGATAATTGCTGGTAGACATGAAACTCTCATCGAATCTTTGATAGAATTAGCTCGGGACACTTCGTCAGATGTCAGTTGGACGTCACGGTTTAGGACAAACGAATCTAGTTCTTTCAGAATTTCGAGGAAAACGCCAAAGAGTGAGGCAAGGTCTGGATGTGACTTGCTTAAGGGAGGAGTTATAGGCCGAGCTGCTTTTGTCGTTACGCAAAAGCGAAGCTTACCACTGAAGTCTGAAAAAATAGCGAGGACTTGATCAAATGCCGTTGGCCAATGTTGCGGGTAGTATCGGATTATAGATAAGCACGTGAACTGTGCGACCTTTCTCTTGATTATTTGCGAGGTCGCACGTCCAGCGCAACAAGTGATAAAAGCTTTAATCCATCGGATAATAAATGCGGAGATTTTCTGCACTTCGGCTTGTGTTACCGGTCGAGAGTCAGTCCTGTAGACGGGTTAAATGGATAAAAAGAAGACATACGGAGCCTTAATAAATAATTCCACCGACCGGCAGCAGACAAAGAAAGCTGCGGAGTTTTGGAAGCTGTTCAGCGCTGCTAAGGAATCACAACTTTCCATGTTTTCGACCAAGAATGAGCTGCACAACTCCCAATTCTGAGTCGAACTCAAATGCTCAATTAATTCAATCAACTTCTGTTGGTTAACAACGGATTCATGTTCACCCAACATCGAAACGTTTCGAAGGCTCTCTAGATACGCTTGCATTTTGAAAGTATGCGCGTTAAAAGGTGTGGAGGCCAAAAGGCAGCAACTAGCTCAAACGCACGCAATGCAGCACGTCTCACATCCGATCGTCACCGTGCACTAAGCTGTGTGATTATACAGGAGCCTGTAAGTGGCACAATTCGAAGACATGCAGCAAGTTAAGTATTTTGGAGTGCAAGATATTTCCTGCCTGCGCTTTTAAGACCGTTTGGATTTTTGCAATAAAGTTAAAATGTACCTTTGTTAGGGCTATGACCGCAATTTTGATAGTAACTTAGTATTGAAGTAAAATTATGACAATCAACGCAGAAAAAGTGCAAAAATTAGTAATCATGTAGGCAGAAATTGTCAAGTCAACACAAAGTCAAATTTATTAAAGGATATATAGGCAAACGCCTTTGAACTCCCTCTTGGTACATAGGATTTA